TTTGGAGTTAATATTGAAGTTCTATATTCTTGGTTGCCAGAATTCTATTTATACCCTAACTACCTTATTAGTACCTTTCATTTTATTGAAAAATTAGGGATAAACTCCATCGTCAAAGTTAAACTTGAACCATGATTCAATGATCCAGAAATTATCCCAGTTCAATTCTGGTCAGTTCGGAGACTACAGAGTACAATTGTATAACCAAAATTTTCACACATAGTAGATATTTTTGATAGATTGTAATCTACCAAATTTTTGTATTTTAAGCACTAATAAATACCATAAATCTCTTTTTTGAGAACAAGAGGAGGATATGTGCAGAAATTAAATAAACAACTAAATTCAAAATAAAACATATATAATACTTTTATGAGAGAGTAAAGGAATAAATAAACTATTTGGAATGCAAATTAAATTGAAATGGCAGTGAAGAGTTAAAAACCATATAATACCAATACTAATGAAACCTAAAGCCTTTCTTCTAGGTTTTGTGGATAAACAGATATACAAACAGTTTGGGATCTTATTTCTTTTCATGGTGACTGCTGCAAGGATTGTTAATGTTAAATATTGGAAAGAAAGAGGGACACCGACTATTGAAGAATTTTTAAAACCGACTGAATTGGCAAAAATGGTGAATTTAACCACATTGATTAGAGACAATGGATTAAACAACTGAAGAATAGTTTTGTTTTTGGGGTTACCTGTTAACTTTTAAGTGAATAGATGGTGAATCAACTTTATAGAGGGATAACAGATTTCCACATTGGTGACATCTTTTTATGTAACAGTATTTTTAGTAAATATAAATGGGAAAATAATCATTAATTGTAGATCTGTTATGCAACGGGGAGGGGAAACCTATCAGATATTTGAGATATATTTTTCTGCATTCAGTCAGGGTGGATATTTATTTTGATTGTTAATGTTAAGAATATACCTGTTATTTGTTCTACCCACATTTTTATTATCGTTTTTTGTTTAGTTTTATTTGTAGTTCATGCATTTTTCTGTTTATTTTGTATTTATAAATAAAAAAGTATTAAAGCATATAAATGGAAAGAATAACCTTTTACGTGACAAATATTCAACAAACAGGCATTGAGTGATACACATTTTGGGCAAAAATATCCACACTTTATTGATTCCCCTAGTATTTGGCTACAATGACTATTTTGTTGGCTTATGAATTCTCCTGCAGGAGAATGGGATATATAAAAATAGACATTCCATGATTCTCTTCATTTGTGTCTTCATCTTAGTATTTCCCTCTTACATAAAGATATACCATATTACAGTCTCTGTCACAAGGAAAGTACAATCTAAAACTTGCCACAGGAAGAACAATAAATAAAAGTTGGGAAAATCAGAATACCTGGCTATTGAATGGAAGCCACACTACACTTAATGGGATTTGCTTCAAATAGAAATAGAATTCAGTTGTTAATGCTGTAGTGAAAAGATGATGTTATCCATTCAGTCGTGTCCAACTCTTGGCAATTCTATGGGCCAGGTCTCTCCACATCTCCTGATCTTGCACTACTTTGTAGTGCAGTAACAATTAACTATGTTGTTTAATGGCACGAATAAGGTAATAGCAATCCTACCCAAGCTTGGGCAGTATGAATAAGAATGGGACAACATTGGAAGCAACAGAAAAGCAAAAAAGCCTTCCTTGAGTTGCCATTTTTTTTGCAGTGTGAAACTGTAGGTCACAGTTTTTGTACTTTCAATTTTAAGGGATATTTTTCTTGAAAAGGAAGTCTATCTAGCATGATAGATCCATTTATCTGAGGAGAGTTTCATGATCTGCCAAAGGATTAAATTAAAATGAAATGATGCATCTATTTGCTGTTCTGCAAGTAGATTTTTGACATAAATATAAATGTGAACAGGTTTCAGAATCTGTATTAACAATATTTTAAAACTTAATACATTCTACAACAGCTGAAAGTTAAATTCTACATAGAAACATCACAGTATCTGGGATGTTTATATGTGATGTCTGGACAGGTTCTTAGGAGCAAATTGTATCAACAACTGGTGGAAAGAGAAAGAAGATTGGGGGCTTTACTGTACAAATAAGTAGAACTTTGCATCCACTAATGTCAGAGAGGACAATGGTAGCATTTCCTGTGTGTCAACATTTATATCCAGATGAATTTATAACTCAGATAATCAGAATGTCGCATGCCTATAGACAAGGGTTTCAAAGGGAACAGAGAGACACATTTGCTGTTGACCTCTGTTTACTGCATTAAGCCAGAGAGATAGGAAGAAGACAGAATGATTGCTCAGCACCCGAAAATGCATTTTAAGATTATTCCAGCTTCACTAAATAATAAAATATTCATGTTATAATGCATTATTATTTAGTGTTTTTGCTTTGAGAAACACTAACATTTGCTGGTCCATATGTTAGTATGAATATTTTTGTGGTAAGTGAACATGAGGGATGAAAAAAGCTTTAATCTTAATATACAAAGGAAATGCCTTTATATTGAGGGGTTTCTGAAGAAATAATCTGAAAATTCCAACTGACCTTACTTGTGGTTTAAGCATAGTTAATTCAAATTTTAAAAAATGGTTTAAAGATATTAAAGTATTTAGTTTTGTCTGAATGTAAAAGTTACCAAGCAAGCATATTTTTATCTTGAGTGTTCCAAAGATCATCTAAATCTATGTTTATCTTCTATACAGTCTTCCTCATTTTTTTCAGTCCTGTTGAGACATCATCCTTTTATGATTGCTGGATATTTATATAACCAAGTTTATTCATTTCATTAAAGAAAGAACAGCTGTTTCCTAGCATATGTTAACCTTTCTACAAGTTGGGTTTCATGCTGAAAGCACAAATGCAAATACACATTTGCGATTTCAACTGTCAAAGGTTTCAGTTCAAAGCATTTTGAAGTGAAGATATATTTGTAAAGGTCTTGGATACCATCACTACTTATTTGTTTGTTTCCACTTCTATGAAATGTTTATGTCTTTATAAAACAGACCGAATTGGGCTATAACTTGTATTTATAAGATGCCTAAATTTTATTTCCAACTTCTTGCAACGTTTATTTTCCTGAGCAAGAATATAGCAGAGGGCTTAAGGAATTGGATTACAACTAGGGACATCTGGCTCAAGTTCACCAAGGTTTGGTTTTAGCCATGAAAGCTCACAGGTTGATTTAAGTTAATCACTATCTTTCAACCACAGCCACCCTCCCAAATTGAATATTCAATCTTTATAGCCTTTCCTATCCTTGTAATGTAGCCCCAAGTAGAGAATTCAAACATTGTGAACAGCACAGCTTCTCTTCTTATATAGTGCTAGAAAAAAAGGGCCAAATAATAGGGTGATACTATCCATGGGCAAATTTATTTGGAAAGAGGATTTAATAAAGCAATGAAATATTCATTTCCATGCATCATTGCTATTTTATTTTGATGATCCTAGGACCTGTCATGACTATTTCTGTTAAGTACAGATTGGGTGAGGAATAGTCAGCAATGTGCCTCATGACTGCACAGAAAGTTATTGCCCACCCCTCTCCTAGAAGAATGAAATATTCTAGGAAATATTAAAAAAGCAAAATATTATATTTCCCTGGATGAGAAAAGGAGAAGCATGTTTTTAAAGACAAAGAGCAGCTCACTGCAGCTCCCGCTCTCAGCAGATATTTGGTGCACTTTAAGACTGGGCCAGCCTATCTACAAGACAATTAGAACTTCAGCTCCAGGGTGATGGGATTAAGACATGACCCTCAGGACATAATAGGATTAGCCCTCTACCTATCTAGCAGCAGGACTCACTGCATTGCGAAATCAGCTGGAGACATTACATCACCCAGCAAGGTTCAACCAAACTTAATTAGACAACCTAAAAAGTTAGGTATGACCCCCCTGCAGAGCCCCCTGGGAGTCTGACAACCAATAGAATACATTTCTTGCACAGGAACAGGAAGCTCAAGGGCAAGGCCCAAGAGAGGGTATAAATACCATTCTCTCTCAACTCCATGTGTTCAGCTGCCCAGGACCTAAAACCCATGAGGTCCTCTCCATCAATAAACCATCTTTCCAATCAGCCTTCATGTTTCCAGTGTCTTTCTCCCCACTTGGATCTGAACCCAGATGGATATTTTTTCCAACAACTGTAATACAAAACAGTGAGTTATTTTACTGAATGCCTCTTTCCATGTGAATAAAGCTCATTTAAAAACCATTGCACCTGGTATGGTTGTTCAGATTGCTACAAATCAATCAAATAGTGGGACCATCCACCGAATTCCATTATATCAAGAAAGAGACTATGGCCAATTTTATCCACTGCTTTACTGAAATCTAAGTATACCATATCAATATCATTACATTGGTCTATTAATTTAATCTCTATTTTAAAAAGTAGTAAGATTGTCTGGGTGTGACACATCTTTGACAAATTCATACTGGCTTAATCATCTTGTTTCTTTTCAAATGCTGGGAATCCACTGCTTGATTACTTTTCTGGATTTGAAGTTTTCTGAATCAACTTTTCCTTTTTTCAGTATGGAATGTTAGACTTGATTTGCAAAAATCCAGAAGATTTTTGGATGGCAACAGAAAGTTTCCCCCTCCTCCCCCCTCCTCCTCCTCTCTAGGAACCCTATTATAATAAGAAATACATATACAAAACAACAGCAGGAATAGGACAGAGCTTAATTTTCAGAAATGGCATGTTGGTTATAAAGTATTAGTTTGTTAATAATCCTTTCTGTTCAAAAGAAAATGAATACTTTAGAATCTGTAGCCTTTGTAATCTATCCGAAACACAAATGGAAGAAAAGATGCATTCTCATTTTTTTTCTTCAGTTCAGAGTATGAATATAAAATGAAGTGTGAGATACTACATCTAGTAATTAGAATACATGCATGTACAACCTCCTTGGGTAGAATTTATTTAGGCAGTATTTCTGCTTCCACTTTAAGAAATCACTGCAGACATTGTTCCTATGGTTACCAGTAGATGGTAATCATGGAGACAGAGCAGCTATAAAAGGAAGAAGAAACTCAGCACCTGGAACTGCCAGCTGATTTTCAAATTCTCTTGTGCTTCAGTATTTATCAATTATCAGGTAGCTGCAGATTTTGCATCTGATCACAAACAATTTGAAAACAAAACATTTATATGATTAATAGTTTTATTCTGTCAGTTTCTTCCATCTTCTTAAAAGGCTTAAGATTCCATGTGTGTTGAAAAAACATTGAGAAGCTTTTAGAGCAGCAAATAAGCAAATGCTAAATGGGTTATGTGAAAAAGAAAATGGATAAAAATAAAGCCTATTTATGCTTGGAGTTAGCTAACATAGTTTTAAATAGCTTTTTTTACATTACTTGCGCCATGGTTTTGTTTAGCAAGTTTTAGGGAACTTTTAGCATTTTTAATTCCTTTCAGATATGCTCTTCTCAAAAGATTTTCAACTTGCAATTGTTTTTTCCTGCTTAGGCAGTATAGAATTAGCAAGAGAGATGATTGCAAAACGGGTAGTTTAAGGCATGTAAGGGCCAGTTATTCATGTGAAATAGCTAACCCATTGGCTAACCATTGTTGCCAAAGTATAGTTATTCCCTCACCTTCATTGTTTTCTCGATATCTATACATAGTGGGGTTTTACACCTTCAACAAAATTTTAAAAAAATTATCCTACAACATGCATCATGTGGTAGAATGGAAAATTTCCAAGATAATTCCAGAGGTGAAACATCAAATTTGTGGTATCAGAGATATTTTAATATAATAAGATAAAACTTATATGGGAGTATGTGTTTATTTGTGCCCATGCATGTTCATATAAGTTGCAAGATGGCTAGATTCTAGGTCAAATGTAGACTGTTTGTCCTTCATCTTTTCCAAATGACACGTCCTGCAACATTTTTTTTCTTGCCATGTTGCCAAGACATTGCTTTTTTCTTTCCTCCTCTTTGAGAATGAGACAGGCTTACATTGTTGTTAGTTGCACTAGTATTAAGATAGTATTTTCTCATTTATTCTGATACAGGGCATAGTGTATACAAAGAGTATAAAATTTGATAGGTTTTGTCACTATGGAGAAAGATCAAAGGAAGCACTAACAAAAGCATGGAGAATAGGGATGCTGGGAAGCTATTTTTCAATGTACATTCAGTTTCTGTTGCTGAATTGCTATGGAATATGTTGATAATTATAAAGACACTGCAATATTTGCTAAGAGTAGAGAGGTTTTTAAGGCAATCTTCAGGATATAGGACTTGTTACGTCTGGACAGCAAGCACAAGCAGCCAATAGAGCAGCCGATTGGTCCATGTGCCGGCAGGCAGCCGGCAGGAAATTGGTGGCTCCTGATTGGCCCAGCTTCTGACAGCTGAGTATAAAAGAGCTGTCAGTGCCTCAAACGCTGCTCGTTCTCCATGGTAGTTAGCTAACCAGAGCGAGTCACTGTTAGCTGTTATTGTTAGCCAATAAACATGTTGTGAAGTGTTTATCCTGCCTCGCCTCCCTTCTTTAGCCTGTCTTCCGTGAATAGAACAACTGGCGACGAAGGTGGGATTACTCGGAGGCGGCAGGTCGAGCAAAGCCACTACAAGAGCTGAAGCACTGAGCTGAGCCACAGCGACGAGACGTTGCAAATTCTAAGGTCTGACGCTGTTCTTCAGGAAGATGTCCACCCTATCTATATTCACGCCTTTCAACCAGGCAGTGGAGACCTGGGATTCCTTCTTCGACCATTTTAACTGTTTCCTGGCTGCAAATGACTATAAAAGTCTGCCAGAGGATAGGAAGTTAGCTGTTTTCCTCAGTGTCTGTGAGCATGATATGTTCGAGACAGCTAGGGCACTATTAGACCTCAGACAGTCCATAATGTGCCCTGGAAGACATTGCTAGCCATTTTAAAAGGCCACTATGCTCCTCTACCCTCAAGAGTTGCTAGATGTTTTGCATTTAGGCACCGTTTTCAGGCAGAAGGGGAAACTATTAATCAATATGTGGCAGCCTTAAGGGCAGCCGCTTTGTATTGTGACTTTAGAGATTACTTAGAAGATATCCTTTTGGACCAGTTAATATGTGGGGTCAGGGATATCCGCTTACAGCGTCGCTTATTAGCCAGAACGGATATTATGTTGCAAACAGCTATAGATGAGGCTAGAGCCTCCGAATTATCAGTTAAATCAGCTACCGAGATAAGGCAGAACCTCAGCCCGCAAGTTGCCCAGAAAACTACCATGGTTCACCATGAGGAGGCTGAGGTCGAGTCTGACCAGTTTTCTGAGGGTGAGGAAGACGTAAGTCACCTCCAAACGTCTCGAAAGAAAGGAGGAAATTCTGAAGTAAATAGGTTTCAAGCCCCTTGTGCAGAGTGCGGAGGGAATCATTCCCATTCCGCATGTAGGTTTAAGAATGCTGACTGCAGACGCTGTGGTAAAAAAGGCCACCTTGCCAGGGTTTGTAAGGCTAGCCAGCCAAATATGCCCAATAATAACAACAATAAAAATAGTTTTTCGAGACCCAGCCGGAGTTACCAACCCTGAAATAGGCAGAATAGGCATGAGGAAAAATGTTTTACTATTTACAGGGGTGCCTCCCCCCCCGAGATGACCATAAGTCAGGCAAAGTCGGATTTGAGGAAAAAACTTTTCCTCACAGTTCGCATAGAAGTAAATCATATAAAATGGAATTGGACACTGGTTCTTCCATGTCAATAATTTCTTGGAGCACTCTTAAATGACTGGTGCCCTCGATGGCCAAGAGGCATTTAGCCTCTTGCACATTCCGACTTCGTGATTATCAAGGTAATCACATTCCAGTTTTAGGATCAGGGAGATTTAGGATCAAATATAAGAATTTCAGTGACCGCCTTAAATTAATTGTTGTTAATGGTGCACTCCCCAGTTTACTGGGATTAGAATGGTTTGATGCTTTAGGATTGGCTTTACCGGTATTCACGCAACTTCATCTGATGTATTTTCCAACTTGTTCATGGAATTCTCAGATGTATTTAGTGAGGGTCTTGGCAAATATACAGGTACTCCCATCTCCTTTAACTTAGATCCCAAAATTGCCCCAATACGACTCAAGCCTCGTAGAGTGCCTTTGGCATTCTGTGCTCAAGTCGATAAGGAGATTGATAGGCTATTAGCACAGGGAATATTAGAACAGGTGGATCACGCTCGATGGGAGATGCCAATTGTCACCCCGATAAAATCTGATGGCTCTATCCGCATCTGCGCAGACTATAAGGCAACCATCAATAAGGCTTTGCAGGCTCACCCCTACCCTGTTCCGGTGGTGCATCACCTCCTCCATTCGTTGGGCCGTGGCTCAATTTTTGCTAAGTTGGATATGGCGCAAGCCTATCAACAATTGGAGGTGGACATCGTCACCGCAGATGCCCAGACAATTGTAACCCACCGGGTGCATTCCATTGTAGACGATTGCAATTTGGGGTCTGTGTCACCCCAGGCATTTTTCAATGCCTCATGGAAAGGCTGCTGCATAGATTGCCTGGAGTAATTCCTTACTTCGATGACATTTTCATCTCTGCCATGACAGAAGCTGACCTGGCCAGCCGCCTTCGTGCCATGTTATCCCAATTCCGGCAAGCAGGACTCAAACTCAAGCCCAACAAATGCAAATTGGGAGTGCCTCAGGTAGAGTTCTTGGGCTACCTCGTTGATGCCGCCGGCCTGCACCCAACGCTTGCAAAGGTGCAAGCTATCCAAAATGCCCCACCGCCTACCAGCCGGTCCGAACTGCAAGCCTTCCAGGGGCTTTTGAACTTTTATAACATGTTCTTACACCACAAGGTGACAGTCACCGAACCGCTTCACCGCCTTCTTGATAAAGCTACACCTTGGACCTGGGGACGCAAGAAGGCTGATGCTTTCCGAGCTGTCAAACAACTTCTCACGTCAGACTCTGTTTTAGTACAGTATGACAGTGAACTCCCATTGATTCTGACGTGTGACGCATCACCTTACAGGGTGGGGGCTGTTTTGAGCCATCGGCTGCCTAATGGGACTGAGGCCCCCATCGCATACTACTCCAGAACTCTCTCTGCCACTGAATGGAATTACGGACACATAGACAAGGAGGCGCTAGCCATTGTGGCTGGCGTTAAACGATTTCATGATTATTTATATGGCCGTTTCTTTCACATTTTCACAGATCACAAACCGTTGTTGGGAATTCTGGCCAGCGATCGCCAGTCTCTGCAGATCCTGTCCCTACGGATGACCAGGTGGGTCATGTTCCTGGCGGCCTACAATTATTGACTGGCCCACTGCCCAGGTAAGGACTTGGGTAATGCTGACGCACTCAGCAGATGCCCCCTTCCTGTTCGTGTCGACGACCCCACTCCAGCCTCATCAGTCCTCCAGATTGATGACCAGCAGAGTCCAGTGTCTGCCGCTGACGTGGCTTGGTACACCGCCAAGGACAGAATTTTATGCCAAGTCCTGGACTGGGTGAGAAGGGGGTGGCCCTTTGGGCAAATCGGTTCTGAGTTCCTTCCTTACAAAATCCGGCAACTAGAACTTTCCACATTGCGAGGCTGTCTATTGTGGGGCACCAGGGTGGTTGTTCCTGTAGAACTTAGACGGCAAGTCCTAGAAACTTTGCATAATGGCCATCCGGGCGTGGCCCGGATGAAGGCTTTAGGCCGCAGTTACCTATGGTGGCCCAAGTTAGATGAAGCTATCACAAACTGGGTCGCAGAGTGCCAGCAGTGCCGATGCACAAGCTCAGCCCCTCCCAGGGCTCCAGTTAGGGAGTGGGAGTTGCCAAAGGCCCCCTGGTCCCGGGTTCACATGGATTTTGCGGGCCCCTTCCACAGCCATACCTTTATGGTCATTGTAGATGCCTATTCTAAGTGGGTGGAGTTGGTGGCCATGGCCTCAACCACAGCGGAGGCAGTAATCCGGGCACTGAGAAAAGTATTCGCAACCCACGGCCTACCAGACTTGATTGTATCAGACAATGGGCCTCAACTGATGTCTGCCACTTTCCAAACGTATGTAGCCAGACATGGGATTAGGCATGTCACGCTGGCCCCATTCCATCCGTCTGGAAATGGCCTTGCTGAAAGGGCCATGCGATCGGCCAAGGAGGTTCTTGCCAAATTGGGACCTGGGGATTGGCAAACTAAATTGGCTACCTATTTGTTAACGCAGCATGTGACCCCATGCCCAACGACAAACCGCAGCCCAGCTGAGTTATTAATGGGCCGCCAGTTGAGAGCAGACTTGGATCGTTTACATCCTGATTATTTTCCTGAGAAACCCCCGGATTCAAGTGGTGGGGCCCATTCATTCCAAGAGGGAGAGTGGGTATATGCCCAAAACTATGGGGGGGGATCCTCGCTGGTTGCCCGGCCAGATAATTGAGGTTACAGGGCCCCGGTCATACAGAGTGCAGTTGGGGGATGGCCGTACCTGGCGGAGGCATGTGGACCAACTGCGCCACCACCATTGGTTTCCCCAAAAGACGATTACTAATGAATCCCTATCTGGGGCTGTCACATCTGGGTCTGCCGGAGCCGCGACTGCAGAGTACAAGTCATGTCCAGAGTCTCAACCCGACTATGAGGGGACCGCGAACTCACCTGTGGTTCCTGTACCTTCCCTGCTGAACAAAGCGCTGTCCGAAGTGGACATCCAGTCTCCAGGAGTTCCAGTGGCACCCAGCGTATATCCCCCTGTTCCAGCTGAATCCGGTGGACCGTGCAGATCAGGGAGGAACAGGAGACGCCCAGCATACTTCGATGATTACGTTTGTGCCATCCGGGAAGAAAGGGGTGTTACGTCTGGACGGCAAGCACAAGCAGCCAATAGAGCAGCCGATTGGTCCATGTGCCGGCAGGCAGCCGGCGGGAAATTGGTGGCTCCTGATTGGCCCAGCTTCTGACAGCTGAGTATAAAAGAGCTGTCAGTGCCTCAAACGCTGCTCGCTCTCCATGGTAGTTAGTTAACCAGAGCGAGTCACTGTTAGCTGTTATTGTTAGCCAATAAACATGTTGTGAAGTGTTTATCCTGCCTCGCCTCCCTTCTTTAGCCTTTGTTCTGTGAATAGAACAGGACTGGTGGTAGTCATATCCTTTCATGCAAAGTTAGCAGTCTTCCCAAATCAGGGAAAGGGAAATCACATTAAATCTGTGCTTAATAGCTATAAAATGCTGAACATTTCCAAATGGTGTCCCTTCTACATCTGTCTGTAAATAAATTGTAACAGTTTAATAGAAATAAAACTTGAAAATGATAGAAGTTAATGGGAAATATAATTAATGGAAAATGTGCACAAGGAAGGGATCAAGATACTTTACTAAATAAATCATATCCTTATAATCCACTCCTGTAGCCTGGAGTAAAAAAAAATCTATCATTAAAAATAGGATACAACAAAATCTATTACAGTACTGAGTAAATAACCACAGAAGAAACTAAAGAATTTCTTATTTATTAGAAATCATTGGTTGATTTCAATTATTTATTTAAATGTTAAGTGTGGGCAGTTTTAATATTTTGGACATTTCATTCCTTTTAAAATGGAACAATCTTTCTATTAAATTGAACATCTTAACTGAAGAACAAACACCAAATAAAATGGAATTATATCTATGATGAGCACACTCATGCATAGATATTAATATGTAGAATGTATCAGTTCATTTCAAAGTGTAACAACACGGAATTGTGAAAATGTTCTCCAAATGAATATATGCTCCAAATCTAATCTTCAAAAAAGTTCTAAAACTAATATATTCTTGTTTGAAAATTAAGGAATTGCTGGGAGAAAAACATATATGTGCTGAGGAGTAACTTTAGTTAGCTTGTAAATTATAAAGTGCTATAAGAATTACATACCCACAAACTCAGATCTGATATGTATAATAGAGATATGTCTTCATATATAAAATGAAGTATTCATTACTTCTTTTTTAACATAACGAAAGTAACCTAAATAAACTTTCCAACTCATTTCTGGTGAAATGTACTTACAATATTGTTCCTACTGTGCATTTCACTTTTCTGTTATCTGTAAATAATGTTGATGTGACTCCAGACATTGTTATCACAAATTCTGCTTATGTTTGGCTGTCAAGACTGATGGCAATCATTTGAAAGTTTTTAAGGAACAAGATATTCAAATATTTTAGTGCATTCATTGTGCTTCTCCTTTTCACTCCCAAATTGTCTTGAATCTGCAGTGTCTTTCAGATCTAAAACAGTTATTTTGGGGTAAGCTTTGAAATGTATGAAATCATTTGAAATAGTCAGCTCAGTAACATTAACTATGAACATTGACAGCCATGGACATCCGACAAATGCTGAAGCCCCCAGAGTTTTTTCTGATTCATGCAGTCTTGTAAATCTCAAGTGTTATAGAGAGGCAGCATTCATCAGTACAATAAAACAGAGTCCCTTGACTCCTTGAGCTGAGAAAGCAAACTAAGGCAGGAAACATATGCAAATTCACTAATTAAAATTGTGTGAGTTCCAATAAATTAAGCTAAGCTCTCTTACAATTTTGGACTGCTACATGGTGTGTTTTTGAAATACAAATGCTTCTTTTGTGTTTGGGGTGGGGGGGAAGAAATCAATAATGAACAAAATTCTAAAGAGAAATTATTCACCTAGTAGGCAGGATATTTGCTCAAAAGTATCTAACACATCAGTGAAGGCAGTTCTCATCTGTGATCTGGAGGTTGCCTGCAAGATCTATAGCTTTTCATTCTACAATGGATTCCTGCTATATAAGATGATATTTATTCTACAAATATTAATTACGTAATAGTACTTCATGCAAGTTAACACTACAACTTTCCAACCGACATTGAACTTTTATGCTGTTTATTTAAGTGTAGTAGTTGAGTAAATGGACAATGATAATTGTTCTCTGAATTCAGTTCCCTTTAGTTCGATATCTTATGCAGCTTTTTGGAAAGACCACTCCCAAATCTGTTCTAGAACAAAGGCAAGAACATGTAGAAATTTGATGTTATCTCTAATTAAGAACCATGAGGAAGCTTGGTTCTATGAGCAGCTTAGTCTCTGCAATCTTTCTTGAGGTTCAAAAGCTAGCGCTAATGATGCTAGATGGTAAGACAATGATCCTTTACTTCAGAGATCTTTAGGTGGCTGGATTGCCCTTAATATTTTGGAGAATATCAAGAATGATAATTGATGAAGCTGTAAAGCAAATTGGACATGATTACATCACCTGTATGAATGGACCTTTGTTCATGTTTTTGTTTGTTTGTTTGTTTGTGAAAACAAACAAACATGGTGAGACATGATTTTTCATCCTAGAAATGTTAAACCTATTTTAGAACATATAATATAATGTTAGCAAATTTTCTGCCTCAAAATGTGGAGAACACCATCTAATCAATTGTTGGCAATTGCGGTTGGGAGATTTCAAAATGATTAAAAGACTACCTAAATAATATTGAACTACAGATTGCACGTCCCTGTCATATTGTTTAATATCAGTGATATATTTATTTACCAGGACAAGTTAACAGTGGATTCTACTTCAGTACCCTTTAAAATCTATAACTGCTTATTTGTAAATGAATGTCTCTAGATTACCGTATTTTTCAGAGTATAAGACACACTGGAGTATAGGATGCATCTACCTTTTTTGTTTTTTATTTTTTATAAAAAGTTTTTTTTATTTTTTAGACAAACACATACAATCATACAATGTATTTTCTTTGAACATAGTATTTGGCTGGTTCACAAATTTAAACAGTGTTTAGTCATTTCAATTAAATTTACAATTTCTATATTTCCTTTTTGCCATATTTATTCCTTATCTATTTTTTTTAAAAAACCAATATTACCCTTCATCCTCATCTCTAATCTTAATCAAATTCAATTTTTCCCTTCTATTCTATTTTATACCCCTTCCCATTGTCATCTATTTTTATATCCATCCTCACATTGGTTAATTATGTAATATTACAATTGTTTAATACAAATTCAACATTTTAATATAAATCAATTAGTTATATAACTATCTTTTTTGTATGTTAATCAATATGAACATAAATATTCCAATTATTTCCATGCAATCCAATTTCTTACAAATCAATTAATTATATTTACCAATAATAATAAACCAAATAATTTCCCCCATATATTCATCCAAACCACAATTTAACCATTTCTGCTTTCAACACAATATACAATTAATAGCATCTCAATTATTACAATTCCCTAGTTAAATAGAGCTTTCCTCTTTTTTTTTTAAAACAAACTTTATTCGTATTTAAAAAAAAGACATTTAAA